GTGTCAGACACGTATTATGTAAATGCATTTACATAATGCAATTAACATATCCTGCATGCAAAGTATATATATTTTTTATCACACTGGCCGATTCCCACCAAGGCAGGGTGGCCCGAAAAAGAAAAACTTTCACCATCATTCACTCCATCACTGTCTTGCCTGAAGGGTGCTTTACACTACAGTTTTTAAACTGCAACATTAACACCCCTCCTTCAGAGTGCAGGCACTGTACTTCCCATCTCCAGGACTCAAGTCTGGCCTGCCGGTTTCCCTGAACCCCTTCATAAATGTTACTTTGCTCACACTCCAACAGCACGTCAAGTATTAAAAACCATTTGTCTCCATTCACTCCCATCAAACACGCTCACGCATGCCTGCTGGAAGTCCAAGCATAGTTCCTTGACAATGTGAGTAGTCACGAAAGCGCTTGAAATTTCACAACTCTTTCACAGTGGTTGTTTGCATATATATATATATATATATATATATATATATTATATATATATATATATATATATATATATATATATATATATATATATATATATATATATATATATATATATATATATATATATATATATGCAAAACAACCACTGTGAAAGAGTAGTGAAATTTCAAGCGCTTTCGTGACTACTCACATTGTCAAGGAACATAGTTCCTTGACAATGCTTGGAATTTCACTACTCTTTCACAGTGGTTTTTTTGCATATTTTAAAATACCTGTCTGGAAAATCTGCCAGCTCCTGCACCCAACATCTTGCTCCTGGGGGATTTCAACTTAAGGCACCTAAAATGGAGGAATATAGCAAATAATATTGTTGCAGTAATAACACCAGGAGGCAGCTCTGATGAAAACTCACACTCACACGAGCTTTTAAATCTCTGCACAAAATTCAATTTAAATCAGCAAATAATAGAGCCTACTAGACTGGAGAATACACTAGACCTCATCTTCACTAACAATGATGATCTGATACGAAATGTCACCATATCAAAAACAATATACTCAGATCACAACATAATTGAGGTTCAGACATGTATGCGCGGAGCCCCAGACCGACATAATGAGATTAGTCACGAGAGAGCATTCACCAAATTCAACTTCAACAACAAAAACATAAAGTGGGACCAAGTAAACCAAGTCCTAACCGATATAAGCTGGGAAGATATACTAAGCAACACAGACCCCAACTTATGCCTAAAACAGATTAACTCAGTGGCACTCGATGTATGCACAAGGCTTATTCCTCTAAGAAAAAGGAGGAGTAGATGTAAAATAGAAAGAGACAGGAGCTCCCTTTACAGGCGACGGAAAAGAATAACAGAGCGGCTAAAAGAGGTCAATATATCTGAAATGCGTAGGGAGACACTGGTCAGAGAAATAGCAAGCATCGAACTTAAGCTAAAGGAATCTTATAGGAGTCAGGAATCGCGGGAAGAACTAAATCAAAGTCGAGAACAACGTCCAGTATTGGGTCCCTACTTAAACAAGATGGGTCCTACACAGATGACAACAAGGAAATGAGTGAGCTACTCAAGTCCCAATATGACTCAGTTTTTAGCAAGCCGCTAACCAGACTGAGAGTCGAATTTGGTTAACACAAGCCTATTTGATGTTATCCTGACGCCAAATGACTTCGAACAGGCGATAAATGACATGCCCATGCACTCTGCCCCAGGGCCAGACTCATGGAACTCCGTGTTCATCAAGAACTGCAAGAAACCCCTATCACGAGCTTTTACCCTCCTATGGAGAGGGAGCATGGACACGGGGTCGTCCCACAGGTACTAAAAACAACAGACATAGCCCCACTCCACAAAGGGGGCAGTAAAGCAATAGCAAAGAACTACAGACCGATAGCACTAACATCCCGTATCATAAAAATCTTTGAAAGGGTCCTAAGAAGCAAGATCACCACCCATCTAGAAACCCATCAATTACACAACCCAGGGCAACATGGGTTTAGAACAGGTCGCTCCTGTCTGTCTCAACTATTGGATCACTACGACAAGGTCCTAGATGCACTAGAAAACAAAAAGAATGCAGATGTAATATATACAGACTTTGCAAAAGCCTTCGACAAGTGTGACCATGGCGTAATAGCGCACAAAATGCGTGCTAAAGGAATAACAGGAAAAGTCAGTCGATGGATCTATAATTTCCTCACTAGCAGAACACAGAGATAGTAGTCAACAGAGTAAAGTCCGAGGCAGCTACGGTGAAAAGCTCTGTTCCACAAGGCACAGTACTCGCTCCCATCTTGTTCCTCATCCTCATATCTGACATAGACAAGGATGTCAGCCACAGCACCGTGTCTTCCTTTGAAGATGACACCCGAATCTGCATGACAGTGTCTTCCATTGCAGACACTGCAAGGCTCCAGGCGGACATCAACCAAATCTTTCAGTGGGCTGCAGAAAACAATATGAAGTTCAACGATGAGAAATTTCAATTACTCAGATATGGGAAACACGAGGAAATTAAATCTTCATCAGAGTACAAAACAAATTCTGGCCACAAAATAGAGCAAAACACCAACGTGTACTAGCCTCCACAAGCAGTACATATATTATTGTAACCACTAGTTATTGATTAAATACCACTTGTTCGTGGTTACTGGATACACCTTTTAATATTCAGTGTTCATGATTCGTTAGAGTAATAATGAATAACTAAGCAGTTATATAGTACTTGGGTACTGAATATCACAATAATATAATGTAATAGAAGGTTGTCTGGGAGTTGTAATTCTCGGTATCTGACCTTGTTTTTCTGAATGTGACAGACGTTCTTTTTTTTATTAGTCCCTCTTTATCATACAGGTGATGATGTTCCAGGCGAGGAAAGGTTAACTATGATATTTTATCATGAAATATAAGATATAGCAAAGGTTTTTAACGACGTATGTGTGTATTCATTTGCCTAACTAGACTTCATGCTGTAGTTGAGAAGATATCGTTTAGAGAAGAATAATAAGAGAAAGCTAATGAGAGCTTCGAGAACTCTACCACAAATTCGTTTAGAACTGCTTTCATTCTCTGTTCAGACTGGTTCTGTGGCCCTGATTTATCTGGACACCACCCATCTCCATCTCCTGTGTGACACTGTTGATCAATCAGATAGTCGAAAGTCAGTTTTGACTCCTGGAAAGCAATTTCTTCTGATTTTTTTTCAATACGGGAGACTCGTATGGCTTTCTAGATAGTTTCCATAAAGTCATTGAAGTTACAGACCAGACATGTGGATTCTCAGCTGGCTCCTATTCACACAAACTGGCCTATACTATGCCAATAGCTGAAGATTTATAAGTCGCAGGAGAGTGTAAACAGGCAGAGGGCCCTGTACCCATATTTATATATATTTTATATATAATATATATTTAATATATATATATATATAAATATATATATTAAATATATATATATATATATATATTATTATTAAAAATACTATATATAATATAATTTATATATAGAATTATATATATAATATATAATATATATATATATATATATATATATATATATATATATATATATATATATATATATATATATGCAGAAAATCCGTAGCTTAGAGATTAGGAGGTGTACGGTTTCTAAAAGTATTATCCAGAGGGCTGAGGAAAAGCTGTTGAGGTGGTTCGGACTTTTGAGAGGATGCAACAAAACAGAATGACTTGGAGAGTGTATAAATTTGTAGTGGAAGGAAGGTGGGGTAGGGGTCGTCCTATAAAAGACTGGAGGGAGGGGGTAAGGAGGTTTTGTGGTCGAGGGGATTGACTTCCAGCATGCATGCGTGAGCATGTTAGGAGCGAGTGGAAACAAATGTCTTTTATGATTTGACGTGCTGTTGGAGTGTGGGAAAGACACATTTATGAAAAGATTCAAGGAAACGGGTTAGCCGCACTTGAGTCCAGAAGGTGGGAAGTACAGTGTCTGCACTCAGGAGTCGAGATATGTTGCAGTTTTTTAACTGTAGTGTAGGCCCGACTCTGACAAGACAGTGATGGAGTGAATGATAATGGTGAAAGTGTTTCTTCTTTTTCGGGTCATCCTGCCTCGGTAGGAAACGGCCGATTAGTTTATATATATATATATATACATATATATTATTTTGACTAGTATTGAATCAATAACAACACTGTGACTGGCCGAGGATTCGAACCCATGTAATTTTGGCCCTGCCTTGTGGTGAGCGAAAATCACATGACGCCTTAGCCCACAGGACCACACAATCCTACAAGAACCAAGCACTCAGCCAAGCTAGGTGTGTTATTCTTGGTCCGGGGACTTATGATGGTGTGGGTGTCTCTAGTCTAATTTCATTCTTAACCTCGTTTGGTGTACTAGCCTCCACACTCGTGTGGCGTCACATAGTAACTGACGTTTTGTCATTAACTACCTTTCGTATTAGACTTATGATTGTATTTAACTACACAAGAAGTCCTGCTAATAGTGTATGTCGAGTTCTTGACTAACATGTTTTGTTGGCCGAAATACAATGCACAGTTATTGACTTTCTTTTGTACGTATTATTGTCCCGATTTATGTACGTACATTTTTTGTATACCACAGAGAAGTAAATCATTATCATAATTATTATCAATCATTATTATAATTAAATAAATCATTATCATTATTATTAAAAGGTCCTGAAGTTCAATAACCAGAGGAGGACTTTTTTACCTGTCCTTTAGAATAGTAAGTTCGTCCCTTGAACTTGCTCAGCTGTGAGGCATCTTTCATAAACAAACTTTATTTCCTTTTCCACAATTACAAAATGTAGTTTACACGTAATAAACTATTATTAAGCACAAAAAGAAAGCCACTAGGATGCGGTGCATTGCGGGCGGCTAAGTTGAAAAGCTACAGTTTATTGGGAACGGTTAAAACAAGATCCAACAAACTGGTACATAATTCTTTTGAGAAGTCTCAATATCAGTTCATAAAAGTTTGGGGTATGTAGATGTGCGGGAAGAAAAAAAACTACAGCGTACAAAATAATTATGGGGAGTTTATTTAATATAAAAAACAGGAGTTCACACGTCTGTTATATTTTGATCTCCTAATGGGTTGTATATCCAGGGATAGTACTTAGGCTGAACTAAAGTACAGGATCCCATGTAAATAGCATCCACTTCGACGGGTAAGTTGTTTTCAGTCGTGAATTTGAAGATCTTGGTGTCGACACAGTTCGACTCCGGTTCGTAGCACCCGAATTCGTCAATGGAGTCGATATCATCCAGAGGCACCGGGTTCTTCACCCAGGCCAAGAGGCGGTCGACGGACACAACGTACACGTCCTCCAGTTTCGATAGATATTCCAGGAAACCTGTGGACATGAGCTACGTGCAGAAAGAGGACTGGAACGAGAAAAAATTTGCCATCACGCTAAAACACACCACACAACACACGCACACACACACACACACACACACTACACACACACACCACACATACACACACACACACACACACACAACATCTAACACACAACACCACACACACACACACGCACAACACACACACACACACAACACACACACACACGCACACATAGCTTAAGAAGAGATACGATAAAGTTCATGGAGCGGGGAGAGAGTGAACTTAGTAGCGACCAGGGAAGCGGGGCCAGGAGCTTTGAATCGACCCCTGCAACCACAAATAGGTGAGTACATACACACACACACACACACTGATATTCTGTGTTTCTTACACTAGAGAAAATAAAATACACAGAAGTAGAAATATGGCCTGGTCTCAGACCGGGCCGCGGGGGCGTTGACCCCCGGAACTCTCTCCAGGTAAACTCCAGGTAAACACTGCTGAAGTACCTTACAATATACAAAGTGGATAGTTAATGAAGAATGAAGTCTGAATCAAGAACCGTTAGTGGGAATGAAAGACAGCATGAAAGAAGTAACCACTGTAATTTCAAATGATGTAGGAAACAGGAAGAAATCCTAACTAAGGAGACAGAGGAAGTTAGTGAGGAGGAAGGATTTTTTGTGGAGGATTAATGCGAATTAAATATTTGTGTCGAGGTAGAAAAGCTAAGGAGAGAGAAAGACTTATAGGAGGGATTACATAAACCCGGGACCATATGCAAAGCACCTCACCCAAAACGATAATGTTGCACAATATGAGAGAAACAAGTAGGAAATAAAACCTGAGCGCTTTCGTGTGCTGACGCATACATCTTCAGATATCTGAAGATATGTGTCAGCACATGAAAGCGGTCAGGTTTTATTTCCTGTTTTCATTGTGGTAATTTGTTCATATTTTCAATCAAGAGTTTTATTGTGATTTCTTCCACAAGAGAAAAAAGTGATGAAAAATCAGAATAAGCATTGTGACTCACGAAATCGTAATAACACAATTTGCAAAAAAAACACGGAAAGAGTGGGGGTTGAACCCATGGCGGCTTTAAGGGGACTTGAGCTACAGTTCGCCACAGCCTCACTAGCGGGAGATACATTTGTAAAAAAAACTTGCATTTGTGGTCACAGTGGTGGCCCATGCTAACCTCCCTATGGTGTATAAATATACCTAGTTGGATGAATTTTATTATAGCTAGCTGGCCCAGTGGCTTACGCACCGTTCCGTGGTTTAGTTAATAAGCATTGGTACTGGTGAGCAGAGGCTGAGAGCTGAGTATCATCTAAAACAGAAGCTCTAGAGAAAGACTTAACTAACCTGCACTAGAGACTTACCTAGACGAGTCTAGAACTATTCACGGGTTTGTAACTCAACGTCCCTGGCCAGAAAGAGGCAGGCCGAAGACATAGCACTTATCTGGTGTGTCACTCACCTGGTGTAGCCTACTCTTCTGGCGTCTGTGCTGTTACCTCCCTCGTAGAACCACGAATGGTGCACGTAGAGGCCGAAGGGAGCTTTGGTGGAGTTGTAGTTGTACTCGAAGTTCCTCCTCAGGAAGCTCTCCACCGCGTCCGGGTCAACCAGCAGTTCGTTTTCCAGGCTGACACAGATTAGTAAGCAAGTAATTTTTTTAGCTACGGGTAGACATAAATATAGTTACACAGATTATCATGCATAGTAACATATGTGTAAATTACCTAAGATAACCCAGAAAAGTCAGATAACGTGACTTATTTCCACTGGGGTCCTTGATTTATTTCCATTATGGCGGTGAGTAAATCCGTGTGGATTGTTCACTATAAAGATCTGTACTCTCTCTTTCGAGAGAGAGAGAGACAGAGACAGAGAGAGAGGCAACAAGAAATATGCATAAGGGGTAAGAACGAAAGAGTAGAATCAAGAGATAAGCGATGATTGGAAGAGGGTAAACAATAATACATTGCGAGAATTCACTCATCCTATACTAACACTGACAAAAGATCAGCTATGGTAAAAAAAAAGTTATATACATATATATTATTACCAAGTTCATATTAATGCAGAATCTTGTTGGGTATAATTTTCCTTTAGACAGGTAAAAGAAAAAATTGGGCTGATACAAACTGGTGTTAAGAAAATATTAATCTGGGGTAAATTTAGAAATAAGAGTAAAAACTGGAATTGGGAGAGTGGGATGAAGGTGGGGCTTGAAAATGAGAGCTGAATTGGCACTGAGAAAGTCGTAAGATTACCTATTACAAGCGTCGAGCATAGCGCACGGCTGCCCAGTGTTGTCCTCTAGGTCCACCATAGGCATCACCCACGTTCCTTCGTAGATCTGGGTGGGACATCGTCCTAGCTGGCAGTCCTAGGTGGAAAGAAAAGCACGGGAGCCTTAACCTTAAGTCGTACTCGTAGGAGAAGAGGAGAGGAGAACGCGGGAAGGAACAGGAGAAAAATGAGGAGGAAGAGAAGCAGGAGTTATGACCTAATATTTGGCCTTCTGATTTCAGTACTATCATAAATCTTCATAATTTAACATTACACAGAAGTGAGAAGCAACATAAAACGAAGCTGAAACTGAAGGGCATTTTTTTTCAGGTTAAGGAAGGGTGCAAGAACAATTTCTACTTAAGCTAGATGAGTCTCCGGCGCACACCTTGTTGCTAGTATTTGAAGTCAACATCGCCTGACCTGAGAAGGAACACGCTTGCTTAGTGCTCACCTGGATGCTAGGGAAGTCGAGGGTGTAAGGCCACAGAGCTCCCAGGGGCTCAGTGTCGAACCAATTGGTGTAGTGCAGAGTGGGCCAAGTGCAGTCGTACTGCAGTCCAAGGTCAGTAATGGCTGAGAACATTTCGTCTCCTCCCACTTCGAGGAAGGGAGCGCGCCAGCCCTAGAACAATAATTGCTGTACTCTTTTCCCTTTCTTTTCTCTCTCTCTTTCTCTCTCTCTCTCTCGGGTTCTCTCTCTCTCTCTCTCTCTCTCTCTCTCTCTCTCTCTCTCTCTCTCTCTCTCTCTCTCTCTCTCTCTCTCTCTCTCTCTCTCTCTCTCTCTTACCTTTATATCCTCTGCAGGAATCCTAGCATACGTCTCAAGCATTGTCTTCAGGTCTGCCATTTCGTGTTCCCAGACACTCTGGTTGGCTACCCTCCAATAGTTGTCCACGTCATCCTTGTGTCTGGAGAAAGGCAAACGGTGGTCAGTGACGGAGACTGGCATTGGTGGATAACGGAGGAAGGGAGGGAAGGAGGAGGGAGAACGTCGGAGGAAGGAGGAAAGCTTGTGGAAGTAAGTAAGTTAAGAAGGAAGAAAAATTAGGCGAAAGGAGAAAAAAAATTATGAAGAAACTTTGCGAAGGAAGAGAAGTTGGAGGATATAGGGAATTTCTTGGATGGAAGAGAAGAAAAGTTGATGGAGGGAAGTATTGTAGGTGTTAGTGAGGGAAAATATGTGGAATGAGGGAAGTTTCAGGAAGAAAGGTTGAAAGAAATTATGTTTATCTAAAAACGAGGAGGGAAGTTACAGGAGGTTAAGTTTCAAGAAGGCAGTCCCACAAAACTATATCTCTCGATTCTCGGGGGAATTGAATTATATAAAGCTCTCAGGTCTTTTAGAGGGAGATGAGCCACAGTTACTCTATATGTTTTAGAGTTCTGAAATACAGATACTGTGAAGCCTCTTGCCTGAGTCGAGGCACAATGGTTTGTAGCATTTTCTGACAAACCTCATATTTTAAGTAAAATATGTCAATTATTACGCTTTCAAGCGAAACCGCTACTGCAGTTGAATTTCAATGGGAAAGTATGCCAAATAATTTTTTTTTTCAAATAATCTTATTTATGGATGATATTTGGAGGTTACCTCTCCCAGATCACCCAGAGATCAAAATAATACTAGTGTTTATGTGCGAAATAAGACTAGTGTTGTGTGACTAGGCTGCTTTTTTCATTAGAGGGGTGCTGGGGAGGGAATCTTTAGTTTTTCATAATGGATAGCCCCAGTCCTTCCGAAACAAGTTAGCATTATAGGCAGGCAACCACCAGTACCCTCTGGCCTTCCTCGAACTTGGGTAGTGTTTGTATTGTAAATAATTTAAAAGAATGAGAGGTATGAGATCTCTTGTATGTTGTTACAAATGCAACTTTTTTTTAATTTTACTGAATGAGTCATAGTTTTGGATGCATATTCAGTAGGACATAACCAGTAGGACATCCACAGTGTCGTGGTTCGATCCCTGGTACGGGTGAAAACATTGGTTATGTTTCCTTAAGACACCTGCTGTATCTGTTCACCCAACAGCAAGTAGGTACCTGGGTGTTCGCCGACTGATGTGGATCGCATTCTGGTGGGACAAAATTAAACTATGTTGCCCGAAATGCTCTGCATAACCAGGGATTTTCTATATAGTATGTCCGTGATGTCAGCTATGGTCTATATAAGTTATATCATGTACTTGTAGAGATAAAGATTATTATTAAACAGGTGATCAAGACTTACGTTAGTGTTAGGTTAGGTAAGGTTCGTCAGGAAACAGGACAAGTGTTTCCTGACGTGGGTCTTAGATGATGACCCGCCATTGGAGCTTTTGGTCATATGACCGAGGGCTTCCGCTGGCTTACCGGTCCACCCCTTTAAAAATTATGGTCAAAGTTATAACCATTTAGTATTTTTAGGACTTACGTTACAGAGTGGAGAGCGATCTCGTGGCCAAGACGGTGCAGCTCATTCACCATGTCGTAGTAATTATAGAGGTGGGTGACGAAGAAGGTCATGGAGATGCGGCAGTAGTTGGGGTTAAGGAAGTCCTTGAAAGTCAGGTAGAACTCGTAGTTGGTGGGAGTGACGGCATCGTCGAAGGTAAGCACAACGAACTGCGGCAGCTGATCCAGAGGGAGGTTGCCTGGGTTCTCGGTGGAGGCACACAGGCAGTCTGGCAAGAAGCAGTTCACATTCTGTTGGCACTCCTCGTCACCGCTTCTCGCTCCTGGCTGTTGTAAGAGACAGCGGTTACCGTGTTGTGATAATTGAGAAGGTCCTGGCTGCTGTAAAAGGCAGTGGTTACTATGCTGTGATACTGAGCAGATCCTTTGTGTTTGTGGCAGTGGCCACTTTGCAATCTTTCAGATGCCGATTACATGATAGGTAAGGGGTAACTAATACATTAAAAGTACACCCAGACACGGGGGGGGAAGGTCTTACCTTAGCAAGAGCAGATGACCCCAGCAACAGCAGCAATAGTAGAGACCACCGGCACTCCATTTCCTCACTGAAGACACGCTGGCGTCTGGATCCCGGATCCCACCAGCTCCACATTTTATACAACTGGATTAAATTCAGTCACAGCTGCTCGAATCATTTTTTTCTGAATGTCATATCTTATCTTTTTTTTCCCTCGCTCTCTTCTGGGGAATATGGTTTTGTGTTTTCGTTCATGAGAGTGGCTTAAGACGTGCTATTAAAGAAACTAATGTGAATGGCTGGACAAATTAGTTTCTGCCATGACGGTAAGAAATATGACATTGTGCTGTGGCAGACAACGACAGCCATATTACGTCACTTACGTCACATTCGTCTTCATTCTTATCGCGGATGTCGTAACTTTGTTTTTTGTTTGCTAACTCTGGCTCATTTCGCCGGCTCTCTCTCTCTCTCTCTCTCTCTCTCTCTCTCTCTCTCTCTCTCTCTCTCTCTCTCTCTCTCTCTCTCTCTCTCTCTCCACTGAAACCATGAACGTTAAATTAAACCTTCCTAGGAAGTCAAAAGAAAAATATTTTTTGTTATATTTATTCTGTGTTATGAAAGTCAGCTCAGATTTGACTTCTTGTAGCACTACAACGCCTATTATTTTAAGAGGAAGTCAACTATTTTGTTGCACCCAATGAGAGTATCAAGGATCCCAATGGAAATATCAGGAGATCCAATGAAAATATCAAGGACGTAATGAGAATATCAAGGAGACGAATGGAAATATGAAAGGGCTCCAATTAAAATATCAAGTACATCAATGTAAATATCAAGGACACTAATGGAAATAAAGGGATCAGATGGAAAATATCAAGGACCCAACGGGATCAGACCTAACGTAAATATCAAGGACCCAATGTAAATATCAAGGACTCAATGAAAATATCAAGGACCAATGTAAATATCAAGGACACAACTGAAAATATCAAGGGCCCAATGAAAATGCAAGGACCCCAATGAAAATAAATCACTCCGTCTGACTCTTTTGGGGGTTTACACATGTTACTCTATATATCTGTAGTCACCCGGACTTGCGTAACTAATTATATGTACCTGTAACTAAATAAATTTACTTGTATCTTTCCCCATTGATGGTGTCCCTGTAAGACTAGTAGTAGTATGCTTTATGCTTCTGTATTTTCAAATACGGAAAGCAGGAGGGGAGAGAAAAAAAAACACACAGTAAAACTCAAACAAGATTTTTCATGGTGGTGATGGACGCAGGAGTTCTCCCAGGACCTTTTGTTATTAATCTGTACGTTGAAAGATGATTTTTTTCCAGGCTGCTTCACGTGTAGCCTCTTCCTGCACAACACCTCAATGGCGGCTGTTAGCTCGCTTCCCTCTACCTAAGTTGACCTTCAGCTTTTTCACCTTTTTTTTTTTTATTCGGTACAGTCACAGTATAACACATTCTGGTTCAGTGCCTCCCTATACTATAATAATAATAATGTAATCTGTCTCATTTTCATTTTCATAATGATTCAGGAAGGATCAAGACTCCGGTTAGTTTCCACTTTTATGGTTAGGTTAGGTTAGGTAAGGTTCGTCAGGAAACAGGACAAATGTTTCCTGACGCGGGTCTTAGTCAGATGATGACCCACCTTTGGAGCTTTTGGTCATCTGACCGAGGCCTTCCGCTGGCTTACCGGTCCACCCCTTTAAAAATTATGGTCATTTATAACCATTGTTACTCCACTTTTATGTGTGGATTAGTGTTAATGTGTTCCTGTTAATGTGTGATCCCCTGAATCATCTCCCAAGGAGACTTTTAACAAGAGGATAATGGTAGTTATGTATCACTGCCATTACATTGGTCAACAATTTCTGAAAAGTTGTATGCTTCTTAAATGAGATTAATTAATTCTTATGTATTTTCAAGTTCTGAATCCAAATATCACCTTGAAAAATGTTTATTGGCTATAGGTTTAAAGATACGAGACATGTAATATTTGATTATTTTATTATAACGTACAATATGTGTCAGTATGTTTCACACTCTAATCTGTACCTACTCTCTGCCTTTTTGCTTGACACTTATAGTAGGCTGAAGAATCATCTCTTGCCAATGTTCAGCAATAGTATGCAAGCATTCTTGTGCCCCATTTGCAATGGTACCATTTTTCCATGGTTGAAATATCTTGGTGAAACCTTTCACCATGTTCGTCACTAACTGCTACACAGTTCGCTGGAAAAGTCTAAATGTGAGTCCAAAAAATGGATTTTAAGACTCGACCAACCTCCATACAGAGGAACTTGGATGAACTCTCGGCTGTTTTTATCTGATAAACTTTGTAAACATCTCCACCCAGGAGAGCGATGGCAGGTCGCATTTGCTTCTGAGGAAACACAAATGATTGGAGCCTGTAGACAGCGTGATGTCACTGTTGATGTTAGTGTAAGAATGAATGTACAAGTCTTACCACACGACACCGAAATTCATACCCTGGTGGGAAATCTGACGGCAATGGTTAAGAATCATGTGGTGACTCTTGCAAGCAAGGAAGGCAAGATGGTTACCATTGAGATATATCTCATACTATCTTGGCAGAGATGAATGCAAAACTCTACACGAGGTTCAAATTTACTATCACCCTGAGTAGGCACCACTCCCTTGGATATAAGTACAAGGCCAATTTTCTCCAGGTTCATTGTCCGATTCGAACCCGTGAAGGCAGCTGTTACATCCTACGACGGGCAGCCATCAGCAATTCCACTTTAGATATATGTACTTCTCAAAAGCAGCACTCCATCAGTGACCATTAATTCTTTAAATGACTCCCATGAGTAATACGTTTTCAAAACACACAGATATTAAAGATATTAAGTAGCCAGTGCTATCTCTGGTCCCCAGCGGGTTCCAACTTTCCTGTGTGCAGTGGCGGACCTACATTTTCGGGGCCCTGAAGCTTGAACTATTATGGGGACCCCGGGGCCTTCACAACCAGCAGCGAGGTCTGGGTAACCACTGTTATCTTCTTCAATTGGGATTTTTCCACGACAGATCGCCACAATTTTTTTTTTTTAAAGTTTAATCACTACATTTCAGATTTTGAACGTTTTTCGTTTACGGCTAGCCTATATACTTTAATAACTTTTTAATTTTTAACTATTATTTGTATTGAATTACACTATATTATTATTTAAAAAAAAACCTCTCGTACAGTAGACCCAAAAATTTTCAGCAATGTGGACAAAAGTTGCTTCTGGGGCCCCTCCGGGATTAGGGGCCCTGAAGCTTAAACTTCATTAGTTTCATTGTAGATCCGACCCTGCCTGTGTGTATGTTTATGTTAAAGAGCCATCTTAAAGACAGAACTCTTAACTCGTAAAAGTAATGCAAAAATCGTAACTAAATAAGCATTAGGCTGCAGAATCACTGATAGGCTTATCATGGGCCTTTATCAGATTCCACTGGGCATTCTTACATCACTAGAGAGAAATATTAGGTATTTTATATATTACACTTACTTCACATAGCTAATGTACGCAATACAGTATTGCAATACAATCTCAGAAAATATCGTTTACCCCCCCCCCCTAAGAAAAAGCATTGGCCATAATTGGGTAGACAAGTTGGTAAGTCATACACCTGTATAGATCATTTCACACCTCGTTCTCATCCATCTCATTCCACTAACAGCCTGGTTGATCAGGCCCTGATGCACCGCGAGGCCTGGTCATGGACCGGGCCACTGGGACGTTGACCCACCCACGGAATACCCTCCAGATATACTGTAGGTAACCATCTTGGAGCTAAAGAAACATTTCTTGGTGTCTTTGTGACACATCTGTGTCTAGCTTCTGTGTCTACTTCCTGCCGAGCCTGGTAGTTCAAACAGGCTGTCCCGGCCCGCACTGTCAAGTTCTCCGACAATGTTTTATTCTTAGAGGTGCGGTTCGTTTATTTTAAACTGTTATCGTATGTAGTCTATCAGCTCCGGCGCTAACTGAAGCTCTCTGATTGGTCGAGGGTGTATTGCTAACTAGAGCTCTATGATTGGTCCAGGGTATATTGATGTTAACTGGAAGTCTCTGTGATTGGTCGACGGCATATTGCTTGCTAACTGGTGCTCTCTGATTGGTCGAAAGTGTATTGTTAACTGGAGCTCTCTGATTGGTCGAGGGTGTATTACTTGCTAACTGGAGCTCTCTGATTGGTTAAGGGTGTATTACTTTGGTGTATTGCTTTGGTACCTGCCTACCTCTTACCTACGGCCCGGTCTTGCATCAGGCTTCCCGGATGACGACTTGGCCATTCAGGCTATTACCAAGTGCTGTTATTACCTAGTGCTGTTATTACCTAGTGCTGCTATTACCAAGTGCTGTTATTACCTAGTGCTGTTATTACCTAGTGCTGCTATTACCAAGTGCTGTTGTTACCTAGAGCTATTACCTAGTGTTGTTATTACCTAGTACTGTTATTACCTAGTGCTGTTATTACCTAGTGCTGCTATTACCAAGTGCTGTTATTACCTAGAGCTATTACCTAGTGTTGTTATTACCTAGTACTGTTATTACCTAGTGCTGTTATTACCTAGTGCTGTTATTACCTAGTGCTGTTATTACCTAGTGCTGTTATTACCTAGTGCTGCTATTACCTAGTGCTGCTATTACCTAGTGCTGTTATTACCTAGTGCTGTTATTACCTAGTGTTATTACCTAGTGCTGTTATTACCAAGTGTTGTTATTACCTAGTACTGTTATTACCTAGTGCTGTTATTACCTAGTGCTGTTATTACCTAGTGCTGTTATTACCTAGTGCTGTTATTACCTAGAGCTATTACCTAGTGTTGTTATTACCTAGTACTGTTATTACCTAGTGCTGTTATTACCTAGTGCTGTTATTACCTAGTGCTGTTATTACCTAGTGCTGTTATTACCAAGTGCTGTTATTACCTAGTGCTGCTATTACCAAGTGCTGTTATTACCTAGTGCTGTTATTACCTAGTGCTGTTATTACCTAGTGCTGCTATTACCAAGTGCTGTTATTACCTAGTACTGTTATTACCTAGTGCTGTTATTACCTAGTGCTGTTATTACCTAGTGTTGTTATTACCTAGTACTGTTATTACCTGGTACTATTACCTAGTGCTGTTATTACCTAGTGCT